GTGATGTGAGAAGCAGAAAAGGCCTTGACTGAGCACTGCTCAGCAACAAAGAAAACATCTCTGTTTTATCAACACTGTTTTCAGCACAGATTCAGAACATAGCCCCATACTAGCTACTATGAAGAAAATTGACTCTATCCCAGCCAAAACCAGCACACTGTGTGACAGAAATCAGTGTGTGCTGAATCAAATACCAGTTGCAACTGTTTCCTGTTACTGTTTTTGTATGGATTTATTTCCAGCTGCAGAACAAAAGTATTAGGCAGAGAGCAAAATAATGTAGGTTTAGCAATTCCCATGACGTAGCTTTCAAGCATCTTCCATATGTGTACATTGAAACATGCCATGTGAATGTGTTTGGAAATGTTTCACCAAACCAGTTTGTGGGTTATAAGGAGCAAGGTGCCTCATCTGTAATTTGTGGTGGCGTTTGCCAGTTGTTTATATTTTGCAACAGAAGTGCCGGCATACTACAGGGAGCCAGATTGTGGAGAAGTATTTTGGCTAAGAGAAAGAGATGCCTGTGAGGAAAGGGAGAGAAAGAAGAGCTCTCTTTCTTCCTGAGCACTGGAATGAATGTAGCTGGATTTCCCTCTGTTTTCACAAAGCTTGTATTATCTTCTAGGAACTGTGGTCACTAGGAAAAGATCTCTTTTTTTTTTTCAGTTTTCTGTAATTAGCCAAAAGTTCTTGGGAGGAAAAGATAAAGGAAATGTCCTGGTTTCAGGACTAAACCACGACAGGAAACAATGTTCATGTTGGAGGCTCTTCACAATTAAAAGCAAGGTGAAAGAAAACAATGTTTATATTTTTCTGTCCCTTCACTTTTCTCTCCTAATTCCATGTTCAATCTTATCACAGAAGGGGAATTGTTGAAAGCAGTTCACACCACAACAGCACACAGACAGGGCAAACAGTGCTTGGGAGCTGCAGCCACAGATTGGGAGCTATGTGCACTCCTCTGTCACTGTATCATAGAATCGTTTGGGTTGGAAGGGACCTTTGAAGGTCATCTAGTCCAAGCCTCCTGCAATGAGCAGGGACATCTTCCACTAGATCAGGTTGCTCAGAGCCCTGTCCAATATGGCCTTGAATGTTTCCAGGGATGGGGCATCTGCCACCTCTCAGGGCAACCTGTGCCAGTGTTTCACCACCCTCCTTGTGAAAAATGTCTTCCTTATCTGAAGTCTAAATCTCCCCTCTTTTAGTTTAAAACCATTACCCCTTGTCCTATCACAACATCAGAAATAGTCCATCAGAAATAGTTTGGAACATCACTGGAGGTATATTTGTGGCATATGAAGGAAGATGAGGAAAATTACAAAACTGTTCATTATAAATCCCCTCAAAAGCTTTCCCGCTGCAGTGCAGTTACAAAAAAAAAAAAAACCTTTTATTGTTCTTTTTCAGATTTGTGCCCCATAATACTCACAGTACTCTTGTACTGCCATACTTATTTCCTGCTATGCCGTAGAACTGCTGATGGTTCCCCTCTGTGACAGCTTCTGTGCTTCCAGACAGGGAAGAAGCATTGATTCCACAGTGAACATATAACACAGCCCCAGGTCAGGCCTTTCTTTCTGTAGGCAGAGTTAAGACCACAGAATCCATGATGTTTCCAAAGCTTTATGAATTGTTCATAAGCCTAACCCAAGCAAGGAATGAATGAGATGTCTGTGTTAGAAGAGCATTTGTCTGATTGAGAAGTGGGGCTAAAGGATGCTAATCATGTTTAGGGCATATGTTGGTATTGTCCGTGCAGGCTTTTGGAATGGAGGGTCTGTGAACTAGCACCAGAAGGCCATGGGTAGGAATGCTGTAACTGGAACACTGGTAATCTGCAACTACTGTTCTCTCATTAGGCAAATACTGTTCCTACCTGCCAGTTGTGGCCTTATATTAATTGCACTGAAAATGAATGAAATGTAAATGAATCAGTCAGGGAGATTGTCTGGCTAGACTTGTAATGGATGTCAACACAGCTGTTTATTCTCTCATATTAAGAATTTAACAGCTAAAATCATGTAAGCCTATTCCATAGGTGATTGAAGTTTAGTGGGAGTGTGATGATACATAGAACAGCAGAAGCAAGCAAAACGGTTTGCCACTGTCTGGAAAAATGGCAGTTTTTCTGAGTTCTGCTTGAGTAATTTTATAATCCATGTTTTGAATTCCAAGCATATGAATGAAAATGTGCCCAAATGAGAGCCTGTCTACTTTATTAACTTGTACAGAGGTAGAATGGGATAAGAATTCAAACTGAAAATCTAAAAGGTACAAAATGAAATGTAGTTATTTAGTTTCTTCAGTTCATTTATCTATCTGTATTTCCATATAGAGGCAAAGGTTCAATAAATTTCACTTCTAAACATAGCAATTATTTGCTTTGATACTTTCCATTTGCCTGAAATAAGTAACTTCTGTCTACATGGCAATGAGCTAAACTAAGCTCATATTCTCCTACCGAACTCTAGCGTGTGCACACGCTTCATTTGTTGGATAGTTCCACTGAACTCATGGACTGCATGTATGCATAAGTGTTTTCAGAACTGGTTTTAAATTGTTTGAAATAATCCCTTGTGTTGGCCTGTAGGTCATCTACGTAAATAGAATAGCCAGAAACTGAAAAATCATTCATTCTGCAGCATCTTTGTGTTTTGGAAAGGGGAAAACAAGTAATAAAACAACAGATGTCCTAAAGTTGATTGTGGACTTGGAAGTTTAACATCCTTGGCTTAATTGAAACAAAACCATAAAAACCTGAAGTCTCTGAGTTTTAGAATTCACAACACTAAGAGGACCTAGGTACTGTAAATTTCAGGAACTCCTTTTCTACCGAAGCACTTTTATTAAGATCAATAAAGTGTACAACTGAGGTACAAGTAAATAAAATGAATGTTCACTGCTTGCTTTCCTTTTGTGCTGCATTATTTTCTATCATAATGTAAACTGGGATGCAAATCTTTTTTGGGTTTTCCCTTGTTTCTTACGAGGTTTTACAGCATCATCTAGAGAATTGATATTCTAGATACTCTTAAATGTCTGTTGGAGGAGACAGTATACTGGATAAATGGATTGTTTGTCAGTAGTAATATGGGAAGTTTTTTATTCCTTTTTTGTTTTGCTACAAATCAAGATATTCTGTTGACATGGGGTATATATGACTTGTTGTACTCTATAGTCTAACATTCATGCTGATACTGAAGGATTTCTAATTGTAGACTACCCAAGATGTGAACAGTTATCATGTGCAAATGGAGCATGTTTTAATGCAAGCCAGCGATGTGATGGCAAAGTTGATTGCAGAGATTCTTCTGATGAAGCTAATTGCAGTAAGTACCACATGCAGAGTGATCCCAAACAAATATGCTTTATAGAACCTCTTTTAAAGTTAAAGATTAGTAGTTTTCTGACAGATTTTCTGTATGTCTTTCTGTGCTAAAATCTCTTTCAGCACATGGATGTACCAGTACGCAGTTTCACTGTGCTAATGGAGAATGCATCCCACGAGCCTTTATGTGTGACCATGATGATGACTGTGGAGATAGAAGTGATGAAAACTCTTGCAGTATGATGTTTTTGGTTTTATTTTCCACTTTCTTTAACTGTTTGACTAAGAACTGGGTCAAGCAGATAGCAGGAAGTATATTGCTTGGCTATACAACCATCAAAAGCTAGCCACTGTTCTACAAGGACTTTTTTGCGTGGAAAGAAGAAAATTGCAGTGCTACGTTGATAGGCTTTTTTCAGGTTGTCTTTGCTGCTGACTGCCTGGGTGTGTAGTTACTATTGCAATTTGCTGGATTTGGTGTCAGTTTGCTTCTTAACACATATAGTGCCACTTCTTCATATTGTTGTCCTTTTCTTCATTTCAGCATGACCCAAAGGTTATTCTTTTACTCAGAAATCTCAGTTAGATACAGTATGCTATTGTTTTTTTGTCCAAATTTGTTTGGCTCTTTTTCACATTTTTATCTTCTGATAGATGGAGTGGATCTTCTAGAATTATTCCCAGTGACTATAATGTACAACTTTACAGACAGAAAACTGTACAGATAATTGTCCTTTAGATGTTCATGTAAGGTCTTTTAATTGACTGTTCCATTTCTAGAAATTTATTGCTCAGTCTTTTCTTCAGGATCACAGTATCCCAAAGTATTGCATCTCCAACCAGAATCATCGCTGTAGAATTATCTCTCGCTTGTGTGAGATGTATATTACAAAAGGTCCCCCACTGATTATAGGATCTAATTTAGTTTTATATTCTGCGTTGCAGGAAGGCCACTTAGTTACTCTGTCCTACCAAGGACCTCACACCAGTATGATTCCACCCCCTTCCACTCCCTCCTCACACCCCCCAGATATTTCTTTTATGTCTGTGGCAATGCCTGTGCTTTGGAGGACCCACAGATGTTTCTGAACTCTCACCAGGGAATGCTTCCCAACTATGGAGGGCTTTGACATAGATGTTCATTGTTTTTTTTAGTTCTGTTTCTCTGTGTACAAGGCATACAAATATTTTACCACCTGATGTCTTATTGTCTCCTTGTCATGTCCACCTTCAGGAACCTTGTTAAAAAGGTGCTCTGCATCTAGTTGCACAATTAATTGAGAAATCTACCCCACGTTTTCATTTCTGTAAAGAACCAGAGTATTCTAAACTAAAGTTCATACTAAAGCCAGAGGAAACCAGCAGGGTTTACAATATATACAAGATATAGAACTGGCTCAGTTTTTCAGGAGAGATTATAAGTGACTATTCGTCTACAAGACAATATGACTATTTCTAACCTTTTAGTCACTTAGAGTAGTTTGATTTTTCTCATGTTCTTTTCTTAGCTTATGCAACTTGCAGAGGCAACTTCTTCACTTGCCCAAGTGGCCGTTGCATTCATCAGAGCTGGATATGTGATGGAGATGATGATTGTGAAGATAATGAAGATGAAAAAGGATGCGGTATATACTAATGCTAACTTCTAATGATGACACTTTCAGAGGAAGACCTTGTTAAGCTACCTATGAAGTTTTGACCGATCAAGATGTTCTAAATCCATTTTAATTACACGAAAACCTTAGAATTCCATCTTCACCTGTTTCTCGGGTTTTTTTCGCTTATGCAATATTTTTCATTGCTCTGTGTGTGAGAGTTATTGCTGTGATACTGAGTATGATGCAACCTAAGTTTACCATATAGCAACATCTTTTTTTTCGTTTAAATTTTTTTTTTTTTTTTTCCTGTGGAGACTTTTCAGGTTATCTATTGAGACACATGAGGCTCCTAATAACCAAAATCAATTGGTTGAAAATGAAGGAACTCGGTTCCTGCCAAGATTTGTCATGCGAGAAACAGATATTTTAATGAATGAAAGTGGGCTTTTTTTCTCTTTCATTGGCCTTTTCTATGATAACCATTATTCTCTTTATCCAGACAGCCTTTGTGTGTTTTGAAACCACAGAGCTATAGTTCCATTTCTTGTACACCAGATAGTCTAAAGCTAAATAGTTTTACTGCTTCTAACAACACAGAAAACTAAAAGGATTCATGTGTCTGCACAAGTATTGTTTGCATTGTACTTTGAAGGTAAAAGAAAGCATGACGAGGAAGTATAGATGATGGGTTTTTTATTAATACTCTTTCCCAGCTGTGTGCAAGAACCAGAAACTGAGTAATGAAGGATAGACATGCTTTGGGCAACTATTAGGATAGAAATTCTCAGTATTATTTGAAACATTCTCCTCAATTATTCTTGCTTTTCTTTTCCATAGAAAGCGGTCACCATGAATGCTACCCGGGAGAGTGGGCCTGCCCTGGGTCAGGGCATTGCATTCCAATTGGGAAAGTGTGTGATGGGGCTGCAGACTGCCCTGCAGGAGAAGATGAAACTAACATCACTGCGGGCAGACATTGCAGTATGTATTAGAATCGAAAGCATACACAGAATAGCAGAAACATCAGCATTGATGTCTTTTTACATTCACTTTTTGTCTCGTAAACAACACTGAAATTTTGGAAGCTCACTATTTTTGTTGGCACTGTTTTGATTGGATGGTCTGAAAGAGGCATACATACTGCGAACAGACCATTCCTTTTGTAAATTTGTACATCAAGTTTCACAAATAAGCATTTTAACTCACTCTCCATATCCTAAGATGTGTTCATGAAGGCAGGGAAAGGTGTGCTCTATGCCTTTTTTGTTTAAATCTCTGTGGTTTTCCCTTTTTATAGAAGGAAGGAATGTTGTGTACTGATCGGAACACAGAATCAAATTAGTGAATCCTGAGCCTTGGATAAGTCACTTAGAGTTTTCAGAAGTATCTTTTCACCTGGCATGTCTGGTTCTCCAGTTAGTGGTAGACTGGCTTTTCTCTGTTGGAGGCAGTGAGCATGCATAGTTCCTGTTAATTTCACTCTTGTGAACATTGATTCCCTCTGAGCATCAGGACCAGGGTATTCTACATTTTTAATTTCTAGGAAGACGAAAATTCC